ACTGTGATCTGTGAAAACTCCTGATATGATTTAAAATTTTTAATTTTTAATTTTAATATTTTAAACTTTGTTAAGACTTGTTTTGTGTCCTAACTTGTGGCCTATCTTTGCAAATTACCCATGTGTGTTTGAAACAAATGTATGTTTTTTTCCTTTGGGGTGAAATGCTTGGCAAATACCAATTAAATCCACTTGATCTAGAGCACCATCAATGCCATAATACCATTGTTGATTTTTCATTTGGATTATCTGTCTGTTGTAGACAGTAGGGTGTTAAAATCCCTAACAATGGCTGTATCGCAGTCAATCTCTTTCTTAAAGTCCTCCAAGATTTTCGTATGTATTTAGGAGCTCCTATGGAGGGTGCATATATAGCTATAAGACTTATATACTCTTGCTGGACAACGCCTTTAAGTATTTGTAGTGACCTTCCTTGTCTTTTATGGCCTTTGTTTTGAAATCTATTTTTTCTGATATATCCCTACCCCAACTTTTTTTTCACGTCCATTTGGTTGGAATATTTTTTTCCATACCTTCACTTTTGGCCTGTGTAGATCTTTTGTTTTGAGGTGGGTCTCTTGTAGACAACATATTTGTGGGACATGTTTTCTTATCTATTCAGCTTCCCTATGCTTTTTGATTAGAACACTTAATCTATTTACATTTAAGGTTATTAGTGGTAGGTAGTTATGCATTACTAATTTTCCCCTTTGTACCTGCATTGCCCCCCACCCACCCCCGGCTTCTTCATCTTCTTAAAACAATCCCTTTAGCATCTCTTACAGTGCTGATTTGGTGGAGATGCATTCTTTTAGCCTTTTTTGTTATTGTTGTTGTGGTTAGCTCCTTATTTTGCCTTCCATTTTAAATGAGAACCTTGATGGGTAGAGTAGTGCTGGTTTGGTTGCGGGTCTTGGTCTTCATTACTTGAAATATTTCATGCCAGTCCCTTCTGGCTTGTAGTGTTTCTTTTGAGAAATCATCTAATAGCCTCTTTTGAACTCCCTTGTATGTTACTAGATGTTTCTCCCTTGCTGCCTTTAAGATTCTCTCTTTGTCTTTAAATTTTTCCATTTTAACTATGTTGTGTCTTAGAGTGGGCCTCTTTTGGTCATCTTGATTGGGACCCCTTGTGATTGGGACCTCCTGAACTTGTGTGACTTTCATCCACAACAATTTAGGGAAGTTTTCTGTCATTATTTTTTCACACAGTTTTTCTATCCCTTGCTCTTTTTCTTCTCCTTCTAGTATCCCTCTGATGTGAATATTGTCACATTTCTTGTCCTGCAGTTAAGACATACCCTTAGTTCCTTCTGAGTCTTTTTCATTTTGTTGTTCTGACTGGGTGGTGGTGGTGTTCTTTTTCTGCTTTGTCTTTCAACTCACTGATTCTATCCTCTGCTTCATCTACCCTGCTTTTAATTCCTTCTAATGTATTCTTCATTTCAGACATTGTATTATTCATTTCCTTCTGGTTCTTATTCATAATTTCTATGTCCTTGTTCATGGTGATGTAGTTCCTACTATGTTCTTTGTAGCTCCTATAAGGCTCCTTGTAGTTCTCTCTTGAGTTCCTTAAACATCTCTATAACCATTACTTTGATCTCTATGCCTGATAAATTGCTTGCCTCAATTTCAGTTAGCACTTTTTCTGAGTATTCCTCCTTTTCTTTTAATTATGGGTTGTTTCTGTGCCTTTCCATTTTAGGTGACTCTGTTTGTTTCTGCATATTAGATTGATTTGCTTTGACTCCCTGTCTTTGTAAGGAGACCTTCTGTGGTAGGAGGCTCATAGGACTGAGTGATGTAGTCTCTTTGATCTCTTGAGCTGGGTGTTCTAGGAATGCTCTTTGTGCTGTTTTTATGTGCTGTCTTGTTGTAATTGGGTTTTGGCTGTTTTTGGCTCATTCATTGGTGGGTTCTCCCCTCCAGCTGGCTGACTGAGAGTCACAACTCTCACCATGTCTTATTTGCTGCAAGAACAAAACAAAACAACCCAGTTAACAAAACCCACATCAGCAAAAAAATACCCCCCAACCACAAGTGAAATATCAACAACAAATGAGCTGAGATTAACAATGATAGAAAGAAATAATAATATTCTAAGAAGGGAAAAAATATGAGATGACTAATAGAAAGAAAAGTGATTTTGAGAGGGTAGAGGGAAGAGAAATAATAATAGGGAATAGGAACAAGGCAAAGAAACAGAGAAAAGAAAACTTACAACCTAAATAAAAAGGGAGGGAAGAAGGTAAAATGGAGTAAAGTGAGGAAAGAGTGTAATATGAGGTTTGAATTAAAAAATTAGAACAAAACTGAAGAAAAACAATGACAGCAGCAACATCAATAACAAGTGAGAAAAGATTAGTAAAGGTAGAAAGATAATAAGACTATTATAAGAAAGAAAAAAAAGATTACAAGATGTCTAAAGGAAAGAAACATGATTTTGAGAGGATAGAAGGAGGAGAAATAATAAGAGTAAGAAATAGAAACCAGGATAAGAAAGAGAAAAAAATAAAATTTAAAATGAAAATAAGAAAGGGCAGAAAGAAGGCAAAATGGAGTAGGACAAGGAAGTAAAATATGAGATTTGAAATAAAAAAAATTGTTAATATATAGGAATATAACTGAAGACATTCAACAACAACCACAATATCCACAATATCAATGACAAAGAAGCCATGATTAATAAAGCTGGAGAATAAGGATATTATAAGAAATGGAAAAAGAATGCAAAATGATTAATAGAATGAAAAATGATTTTGAGAGGATAGAGGGAGGAGAAATAGTAAGAGTATGGAATAGAAACAAGGCTTAGAAACAGAAAATAAAATTTAAAATGAAAATAAGAAGGGGAAGGAAGAAGACAAAATGGAGTAACAGAATGGAAGAATAAATATGAGATTTGAAATAAAACTAAAATAAAAAAATGAAATAACAGGAACAAAATTGAAGAAAAAGAAAAAGTGTGAAAAAGCTATGCAGGAAGAAAAATAACACAAATAGTGAAAAAGAAAGAGGTGGAATTTATTTCAGCAGAGTTTAGTGTTTGCCTACTGTCTTCTTCTGGATCCATCTCTGGTAATATCAGATGGTTTCCCAGTCTAACTTTAGGCAGCCTGTTTGAGGATACAAGCAATCTACAGTGTTTGGATGTCTCCTTCAGGCTTGGCTGACCCTTGCTATTCTGCCTTGCTGGCTTAGCAGCTCAAGGCCAAGGGGTAGTTTATCTAACATCCAACAGCAGGAGATGTACTACATCCACCAGCCACTAGAGGGGACTTCTGGTGCAATCAGGAGGATAGGATCCCTGGCTCTCCCCAGGGGCCACTGTTTATTTTAAAAGTATTATAGTGATTTAAACATCACTAGATTTATTAACCCACCACTTTTATTTTATTTTATTTTATTTTATATTATTTTATTTTATTTTACTTTTTCAAATACATTTGTCTATGCCTACCCACCACCACTTTCCCTTGCCCCCTCCCCCCTTCCTCCCTCAATCCTTCCCCTTTGGTTTTGTCCATGAGTCCTTGCTATATGTTCCTTGACTTTCCCCTTCCCTTCCTTTTCCCTCGCCCCCCCACTTCCCTCCTGTCTCTGTTGGTTTCTTTTCCTTTCAGTGTTGCTGGTCTTATTTTCCTTGCATGCCATCTTGACTGCAAGCTCTCAACCTCATTTTTATCTTTTATAGATGTGGTAATGATGCAGAACTGTGGAGACAAAAGTGCCCAGGATTTGTTTCACAGTAGTGCTTGAAGAATGTTAGTTCCTTTCTAATTGGCCATGGTGCTCACCTGGGCAGTATGTTGCATGAAGAGCCAGATGTGGGGTCAACAACAGAATAATACTAACTGTGAACATTTATTGAGCACTTAACCATGTGTCAGGCAGGGGCCTGAGCACTTGGGTGTGTTATCTTATGTAAGCTTCATGACAGGCCTAAGAGATGATTACTATCCCTACTCTTTTTATAGATGGGACACTTGAGGCACAGAGAGGAAAGGAATATGCCCATGGTTTCTCAGGGAATAAATGGCAGAGCTGGGATTCAAATCGGAGGAGACATCAGAGCAGAAATCTTCACCTGGGCTGCACTTTGGAAGACCCCCTTGTGTAGGAAGCAAAGCCTAAACGTCTTCTGTTGAACTGATAATTTTTTTAGCTTACTTTAGCTTGTTTAGTTTCCTATGTGTTGTATTTTCCAACATGGTGGACTAGGAAGTATCAAAGCAAAGGGGGAAATGGCACAAAAGGCTGGGAGTATCTGTGGTCCCATTTTCTGGGCACAGTTCATTAAAATTCTCTCCCTCACTAGAGAGAAGTTCTATATGGGCAGGTCTGTCTGATCACTGCCATATTCCTGGTGCTCAGTTAATGTTGTTGCATGATTTGATGAATAAATAAACCAATCCTATATGGTCATTTCACAATATGAAGCAAAATGCCTGGCATGTGGTAGATAATTCTTCTCTTCTATCTTTTTCTCAAAGATTCATCCACTGTAAAGTAGAAGCCCAATGTAGCTACCCTTACTGGGGATGATTGAAGGTCCTTCTGAGGTTTTCTTCTGCTCAAGAAACTGCTGAGTATCTGGTATACAGCATGCCATAACTTAGCTGGTTTCATATGTGAAGCTACCAGGAAGTGCCTGGATGATTTCAGTTATAATGATATTTACATCTTAAGTAGAAGCAAGAGGGGACTTACATTTATTGAGTCCCTGCTATGTGCTGAGCATCATTCATAGTCAGAGTTAGAAGAGCTCTTATTCCAGTTCTGTGGATTTGGAAACTAAGAATGGAGAGACCAAGAGTCTGATCTAGGGTCATATAGGGAGGAAGCTGGAAACAAATCCCCTGTTGACCCAGACCTGAAGCTCATGCCCCTTTTGGTGTGCAATGCTGCCAGTCCCTGAGAGCATGTGAGAGCTAAGAGGTGCCATCACTTAGGAAGGACAAGTGACTTCACACTTTATTTTTGCTTCTTTGCATCAGGGCTCTGGTTCTTCTCCATCACTTTCAGAAATCAATGTCAGTAGAATCTACTTTGTGGAACTGGTTAAAGAAGATGGGACACTTGGATTCAGCATAACTGTAAGAGTTATTAGGAGAGATCAGAAAATTAAACAATTAATAAGATGTTCATCTGGAGTGCTGGTGGACATTCCACTCATATGGTAACTTCTGATAATGTACTCAGTGGTACAAACAGAACAGGATAAATGGGTAAACCAAGAAAGATGGTTTGGGCCTTTGTGTGGGGTGGGAGTCCAAAAACAAACTGGCAGACACAGGGCAAACTTGGGATGAACAGTGTGGGTGGAATTGGGTGAAGGATCCTATCTCTAAGGTTATGTTGGGCAGCAAGGAGAGGGCAGCAGGGTGGGGCTGGAGGGACACAAGCCAAAGGTAAGAGGGGTAATCCACAGTCACCCAGAGAAAGGTCATGATAGAGTCTGGTGCTCCCACTTTCAAGGTCTGGACAAAGTCAGGTTGGCAAGAACTTTGTTAAGAATGGGCACGTTGCATTTGGTTTTTGAGCTCTATCTGGCAGATCCTGGAGGAGGGAGGAAAATACTGTACAGGACTGATGTAATCCCACTGATCTAAGAATCTGTATTTATGTGTGTATACGTGTGTAAAGTAGTTAGAAGAGAAATATAGAATTAAATCTTATTCTAGTGGCCTACAGGGAAGTTCATAATCAACTATTAAGTTAAAAAAAGTTGCCAAATACTGTATAGTTTAATCCTAGTTTTGTATCCACAAACCAGCTCACAAGCATACAGGACATGCCAGGCACCAGTCATTGATGTGCCAGGTACAACCCATAGCTTCATCCACCTATGTTGGTTATTGCTTATGGAGAAACAGTGTAGTTCATTGATGTGATTCTGATTTTCAAGCACCCGCCATGGGCCATTGCTGGGGTTGGATATGGCATAGCTCCCTCACACAGCTTGTATTGTTATACTTCTTTTGAGTACCTAACATTACTGTTCATGGATAATATACACTAAATAAATGAGTGAATAGATAATATGGTGTCACATGGAGATAGAGTGGCAGGCGGGTGTGGACCATTTTAGTCTTGAAGGTCAGGGAGGCCCTACGGGAGGGAGCAGACAGGTGGTAAGTTTTTTTTGTTGTATTTTTCAGGGCGGCATTAACACAGGTGTGCCCTATGGAGGGATATATGTGAAATCCATCATTCCTGGAGGACCAGCTGCCAAGGAAGGGCAGATCCTTCAGGGTGAGGAATGGAATCATGCTGGAAACTGCATTCTGCAGTGTGCAGGGCCCTGGACTGGGAGGTGCAGCCCCACTCCCACTCTTGAGACTTTATGCAAATAACTGTTTCACCAGGCCATGGCTGCCTCACTTGGTAAAGGGGACAATTTAGCCTGGCCCACCCACCTGTTAGGTTCATATAGCAATCAGATATTTGTAGTAGTACATTGGGAACCATAAGGTGACTTAAAAATAAAAGATTTTAAATAAGCATGTTATGGTTTGGCCTTCATGGGAGAAAATAGTACTTTCTGTGGAGGACAGAGTGTGTGTTGGTGCTCACTTTAGTGTCTGGAGTGGACACTGGTGAGCCTCCTCTCTGCCTTTCCTCGTGTCCACTGCTCTAATGGAAGTGGGTGATTTATATTGTTCTCTAAAACAGAGATAACTGAACCAAAGAGGGCACTTAGGCTCTTTCATCATTTCTCCTAGAATTCCAGTACTCTGGCATCAGTGAGGTCTCCCTGACCTTTTTTGAAGTAAAAAACATTCTGGATATAAACATTACCCAAAAATGACTTAAAAAAACTATCAAAAAACAGTGTTACAGAAAACAAGAGAAAGGATGAGGTTGTACAGAGATGGCCCAACCAATCGAAAGGTTTCTCTCACAGGTAGGCGAAGGTGTTCACAGTGGCACTGGCACACAGGCCCAGACTGAGCTCCTCGCTGCTCTGCTTCCTGCCTCTCCTTGAGGCCTCATGGAAGTATGCTGGGCAGGGACCCCCAGGAGAGTCCTTCCTGCAGCCTCAGGGACCCTTGGACATGACATCTGTCTCCCCACTAGGTGATAGGCTCCTGCAGGTCGATGGAATAAGTCTGAGTGGCCTCACCCACAAGCAGGTTGTGCTGTGCCTCAAAGCCTCTGGGCAGGTAAGTGCACCATCATCCATAACTGCAGAGCTTCTCTTCCTTTCAGGGCTTTCCTGGTCAACCTTAGACACTGCAATTGCCTATGAGTGGGAGAAGGGCAGGCAGGAAACAAAACAAGACTTCCTTCGTTGTCTGTTTCTCTTTTGTGTCTTCCTCTTACCATTACTTTTCTATGTGGATGTAAAAGCCAAGAGGAAGCAGAGAGATGTTCTCAAACAAAAAACCTAACTCTTATAAAGAGCCTTGAAAAACATACTTGTCATTTTCCTGGATTCTGGAATGGCACAGCTGAACAGAGCTGATGGAGTGGGGCCACTTCTCTCACCTGGCTCTGGCTGCCCTCACTCTCTGTTCCCACACTAAGTGACCAGGACTTCTACCTGATCTCAGTCTCTCACTAACCTGCCTTTACATATGCTGATCCCCTACCTCCACCCCTAGTTCATACCATTTTCATCGTGCTGTGGGATTAAAGACCACATTGTCCTGGGAATCCTTTTATTACAATGAAGTAGAAGTTCAAGATGCTGAGAGCTGGAGGCATTCACTCAGGTGGCATCTGGATATTATCACATTGCTTTCCATTCTCTGCCTGAAAGTAGGAGATTCTACTTGCCCCAGTATCTTCAACTACAGAGGTAGCATCACTCTCTTGAAGAGTCTGCAGAGACAGAAAGGACCCCTGAGGCCCCTTCTGGCAAACTGCTTTTTTTCCCAAAGTAGTCATCTGGTTTTTGGTAATTTACTTATATTGACAGCTATGGTTCACATATCATGAGAACAGAATCATAATTTATTAGTACTCTTTGTTCTTTAGACCTCTGCCAATTATCATGATTACAGAAGGTACTTGGGCAGCCTACTTGCGGTGATGACAGGTAGGAATTGTTATTCTAGGATCATGGGCTTAGTACTAAATAACAATTGCAGCAGAAGAATGTTAGGAGTGCCAAGTCCCTTGAGTGGAAGTTTGACATTTCTAAAAAAGTGTCCAGGTGCTCTCTATCCACTGGTTCTTGAACCATGCTTTGGATAATAAGGGTTAGAGTGTGTAGGGAAGAGGGATGGAAATCAAACTGGGAGGAAAGGGAGACTAGGTTGGTATGGGCATGGGATATTATGCTAGGGGTTGGGACTTTAACTGATGGGAAACATTGGAGACTCTTAATCAAGAGTGTTGCATATTTAGTTTGTATCTTTGATAAACCTCTGGGTAGCCATGAAGAGAACAGGCCACAAGAGCGGAAGTTAGGGTCCAGAAAGCCAAGGAGCTTGCCACAGTCCAGCTGGACACTGACAGCAGGTGAGGGAGTGGAGAAGTGGGCATCACTGAGGAGATGTTTCTGATGGAGAACATTCAAGCCTTAGAAATCAGATGAGAATTTTGAGGGCAGAGGGGAAGAGCTGGATCGCTGCATGTGTGACACTTGCAGATTAGTTGAGAGATGTTCCATATGCTGGGAGAGCAAATGCATAGGGAGAAATGCTTTTGGCAAAATGAGGAGGAGGAAGTGAGGACAAGTGATGGGGAGAAGATGAATTTGCCCTTGAATTGAAATAGAGGCATATGTATTACTTCTAGGAGAATTTGTCCAATAGGCAGCTGGAAATATGGCTCTGGATCCCAACATATAGCCTAGCTGGGAGGATCTTAATGTGGGATTCAAATGAAGCAGCTGCTGAAAGTATCAGAAAATTGAAAAGCATTTGCAGGGTGAAAGGAGAACCTTATGGGTGACATACAGGGTATAAATCACATTTGTTCACCCATCCTAGGTTGCAAGACTGGTCTTAGAGAGAAGCGGCCCCAGGATTGCACAGCCATGTCCTTCTGTTAACAGGATGGGAGTTGACTGCATGGCTGTTTCCTTGGCAACAGCCTTGCCTGGAAGACCTGCAAGCTGTGTCTCAGTGACAGATGGTGAGAGGAGAGAGAATTGAGTGTTACTATTGTCATGTCACCCTGTGCTGCTTTTGAATGGTCAGCTAAAAAGGGAAAGCAGGAAGACTTTCTCTAGGTTCTCAAAAGATAATGAGTAGTGGTGGTCATGTGGCCAGTATTTTTATGTAGTGGAAGGCAATCTAATAAAATATGTTTATGGAAAAATAATACATTGTCCCAAAGTGATTGCTATGCATAATTCTGCCACCAAACATTCTGAGGGGTTCTGGTCAGCTGCTTAAATGTTTGTGCATATATTTAGGGGATGAAATTGAAATGAGAAAGTCATGCATTTTCTGACCAAAGCTCCACATTCAAGCTAAGGCATTTGTAACAGATCTGAGGAATGATAAAGCAGGTTGGGAGAGAAAGACGCTTAGAATCTAACCTTTTTATCAGCATAATTTTAAAAAGCAGACCCACAAGGGCATCAATGCACATCTTCTGATCTGTTGCCCCTCTGCACTTCCCTGTGATTCTATTTTTCTCCTAGGAAAAAGGCTTATTTCTTTAGGATATCAAGATATTGAGATTAACCATTTTCCGACCCCTTTATAGAAATTTTCTGGAAGGTGTAAGTCAGGTTGGATGCAAGGTAGCCAAAGAGAGTGATGGAGGGGCACACATGTACATAAACAAATCTGTCTTCTTTCATTGCTCATCTGCTGATTCCAGAGAGGACCTTTGAGGAACTGACTACAAAATGAGCCAAAGGGGCCAGATGATGGCAAAGGTGAAATTAGCCACACAACACACTGCACCTAAGAGCTGCCGATGCTTTTACTCCTGCCCCAAATCAAAGCTCATGAGGCAGTGCTCTGTGCCTCTATTGACTGATGCCAGCTGAGTTGGATAAGCCAAATAAGAGGAGGCTGAGAGGCCTCTTTGGCCACCAGACACTCAGGTTCCTGAGACTGTGGCTATCTTGGGTGCCCAGATGCAGCTGTTTTGTCTTATGGTCAGTCCACATGGATAAACAAAACCACAGCTAAGACATTTCCATGGAGTTGGCCATAATTGCCTCCATAGTCTAATTATGCAAAATTTAGCTTCAAGTATATTAAAAAATGACTGAGGTTCTAAAAGAGTACTAGGAGTGTATGTGATACTAGTTTTACTAAGTGCAGTGGGCATGTTGTGTATGTCTATGAACTATATCTTTACATATAGACTTTGTTTATTATGATTGCCATTTGTCACACGTGTCTATTAAGTACTTGAAGTGTGGCTAATCCAAATTGATAAAACACACTCTCAATTTCTGAAGACTTAGTTAATGAGAGGAGTGTAAAAATCTCATTAATAATTTCTTGTTGATTGCAAGTTGACATGGTAATACTTTAGATATATTTAGAGATGTGTAATCATAAAATATATGATTAAGTTTATTTTACCTGTTTCCTCTCACTTTTGAAAAAGAAATTACCTACGTGGTTTGTATTTGCAGCTAACATTTTATTTCCATTGGACAGCACTGATCTATAACATGTATAATGGATTCTGTCATGAAAAATTAGCAAAATGAAATAATTTTATGTAAAACAAATAGTTCATCTGCTTGATAGTTTGCATTTTGAGGCTGGTCAATTTCACTTGTAATCTACTGAAGGATTTATTCATTCACATCCTACAATACAGGTCCGCAGTTTGAAGTCAAATTGAAAAAGAATGCCAGTGGTTTGGGATTCAGTTTTGTGCAGATGAAGAGAGAGAGCAGCAGCCACTTCAAAAATGATCTTGTGAGGATTAAGTGGCTCTTCCCAGGACAGCCAGCTGAGGAGAATGGAGTCATTGCAGCTGGTGACATTGCAGCTGTGAATGGAAAACCCACAGAAGGCCTTGTCTTCCAGGTGGGAGGCCATAAGTGATGCAGTCTCGTGTGCAAGATGTCAGCCATGCTTTTTCTCAGGCCCACCCACTGTAGGGAATACTCTTAGCTCTTGAAAATCATAGCTGGAGCCTGGACTTTGATCACACAGAGAGAACAATTGGCAGAACATTCTCACAGTTAATTTTCCATCTTTGTGTTTAAATAGCTGACCTTGAATAAGCCTTGCTTCTAATTAGGTTCAAATTGAAACAGGATAAAACCTAGGCTTCTGTGTTGTCTAAAGGTCTCCTAAGACATTCTGGGAGGTGAATTTAAGGGCTAAAGGGACTACAGTGGGTTCCTTTCTGCCTTTCTTTCCCTTTTTCTACTAAATTCACACAATTTTTGGTGTATAGTGTTGCATTGGTATCCTGTGTATGATTAAAAATTAAAGAAGAGTGAAAAGTGGACACTTCTTTTTTTAAAGTATAATTCATTGATTATGCTATTACAGCTGTCCCATTTTTTTCTCTTCTTTATTCCCCTACACCCTGCAACCCCCTCCCACCAGCATTCCTCCCCTGCTTAGGTCATGTCCGTGGGCTGTACATATAAGTTCTTTGGCTTCTCCATTTTCTATACTATTCTTTGCCTCCCTCTGTCTATTTTGTACTTGCCAATTATGCTTCTTATTTCCTGTACCTTTTCCTCCATTCTTCCCCACCCCCTCCCTGCTGATAACTCTCTAGGTGATCTCCATTTCTGTGATTCTGCTCCTGTTCTACTTGTTTGCTTAGTTCGTTTTTGTTTTTTGGTGGTTTTTTTTTTTAGGTTCAGTTGTTGATAGTTGTAAGTTTGTTGTCATTTTACTATTCATAGTTTTGATCAGTAAAGGGAGTTCTTTTTCTGAAATATCTCCTTTTAACATTTCATATAATAATGGTTTGGTGATGATGAACTCTTTTAGTTTTTTCTTGTCTGGGAATCTCTTTATCTTCCCTTCAATTCTAAATGGTATCTTTGCTGGATAGAGCAATCTTAGCTGTAAGTCCCTGCTTTTCATCACTTTGAATACTTCTTGCCAATCCCTTCTTGCCTTCAAGGTTTCATTTGAGAAATGAGCTGATAGTCTTATGGGAACTCCTTTGTAAGTAACTCTCTCTTTTTCTCTTGCTGCTTTTAAGGTTCTCTCCTTATCTTTACTCTTGGGTAACTTAATTATGATGTGCCTTGGTGTGTGCTTCCTTGGGTCCAACTTCTTTGGGACTCTCTGAGCTTCCTGGATCTTCTGTAAGTCTATTTCCTTGGCCAGATTGGGGAAGTTCTCTTTCATTATTTGTTCAAATAAGTTCTCACTTTCTAGCTCTTCCTCTTCTCCTTTTGGCACCTCTATGGTTCAGATGTTGGAATATTTGAAGTTGTGCCAGAGGCTCCTCAGCCTCTCTTCATTTTTTTTTGAAATCTTTCTTCATTCTGTTCTGGTTAAAGGTTTATTTCTTCCTACTGCTCCAAATCATTGATTTGAGACCCAGTTTCCTTCCCTTCACTGTTGGTTACCTGTGTATTTTTTTTATTTCACTTTGTGTAGCCTTCACTTTTTCCTCTGTTTTGTGATCATTCTTAACCATTTCTGTGAGCATCCTGATTACCAGTGTTTTGAACTGTGCATCTGATAGGTTGGCTATCTGTTCATCGCTTCATTCTGTTTTTGGAGCTTTGATCTGTTTTCATTTGGACCATATTTCTTTGTCTCAGTGCTCCTGGTACATTGTAAGGGATGGAGCCTTAGGTATTCACCAGGGTGGGGCAACCCATGTCAATGTGCATTGTGGCATTGTATGTGGGGGAGGGGTCAGAGAAGGAACAATGCTGCTTCTTCAGCTGTTGGCTACCTTTCAGTCACTTCTCCTGCTACCCACAAGCAAATTGGGCCTTCTGGTGCTGATTCCCAGGTGGGTGGGTTTGCGTATGTTCTAGGATCCTGTGGGTCTCTCCAAGGAACTCTCCTGTGAGCCTGGGAGTTTCCCCCGCTGCTGCAACCCCCACAGATTTTTACAGCCAGAGGTTTTGAGGCTTTCTTTTCCCGCACTGGAACCCTGGGTTGCACTGTCTGTCTTGTGCCCCACTTGCTCCTCCTGGTATATCCGCATGCAAATGTGCATCTGACTGGTCCACCAGCCATTGCCTTGCCCAGTCCTCCAGCTGCTGCCTTGCTGCATGTCCTCTCCACCCCATCTGCCCCTCTCCACCCCTCCTACCAACCTGGATGAGTGTTTCTTCTTTAACTCCTTGGTTGTCAGACTCCCATACAGTTCAATTTTCTGGCAGTTCTGGTTTGTTTTTAAATTTATTTTCCTTCTTTTGGTTGTGCAAGGAGGCAAAGTATATCTACCTATACCTCCATCTTGGTGGAAGTTGAAAAGTGGACACTTCTCAATGCTTATTCACAAAAGCTCTATGAAATATTGTACATGTCAGAGTTCTGGCAGAAAATTGAGTCACTTGAGGGGATTTTCACAAAGGTGTGGACAAGGGAGATATGGAGCCCTGGGGCCAGGAACAGAGGTACAGTTATCCACTCCCCTAGTCCAGAGGGATGTGGGAAGGAGCAACTACCCAACCCCAGAAGCTGGGAGAGTTGGATGGAGCAGACCCACTGAAATGAGCTGTGATGTTAACTAGGGATGCAGTCATCACCAGCCTCCCTCTGTCCCCTGTTTCTATCCATGCCCATGCTGGCACCAGCTGAGCCCAGCAGGAAGCCTCACTGTCACCCATATAGGCACACCTCTGGAGCACAGAACATGCTGCATGAAGGTAGTGAAGGGCTCCAGGTGGGAAAGGGAGTGGGTAGTATCCCCAAAACAGTGTACGTTTGGGTGGGGATGATTTTTTCCATCCAGCTTCAGATCTAAGGGTTATTATCTGAGAATGGTGGCAATGTTAAAGTCAAGAGGTTCCCAGGGTCTTAGCTGAGCACTGGCTGCAGTGCCTGCATGACTGATGGTACTGAGATGGGTGGGTTGGAAGGAAGGGAAGTTGAGGCTGGAACAGCCATTTGTTTGAGTCACTGTGTCTCTGGAGAAAGGTATTGTTATGGGCAAATGCTGTATGAAAAGGCCCTGGGTAAACTCTGGCCATTTCCAGTTCAACATTGGTGCATTACCTTTGTGGGCGCTGCAGTCTAGTGGCCTTGCCTCCTTGCACTTTGGGAAGTCAGGCCCACAGTGGTGTTCTCCACAGTTTTCTGGAACTGAGGAGCATATCAAGGTGGGGGTAGAGATGCCAGCACCAGGGAGATAGTAGAGAGCACAGAAGAGACACACAGCCATGCCAGCCCCATGTCTGACTGTGGAGTTTGGTTTCTTATAGGAGGTGCTCCATTTACTGTGAAGGGCCTCACAGGAAGTCACACTCCTACTTTGCTGACCCCACCCAGGTGTCTTGCCTGAGATGGACCAGGTAAGATGTGGTGTTCTTGCTTTTTCCACAGGTTCAGGTACCCTTTTTTCCTTTCTGATGGGTTCTGAGGAACCCCACTTTGCTTTATAGGTAAGGTTCAATGCCACCTTCTCTCACTGGGACAGGAAAATAGCTGATTCCCAAACCTCAGCTGGTTGGTAACAAGATGATGAGGTCATATCTCTGCGTTTTTCTTCCCCTCCCTGTTTCTGCCTCTTCTGATGTTTGCATCTTTCTCTAATGGTTACACATGTTCAGGTCTTGGCCATGAGAACTCTACAGCCAGACACTCTGGCAGCCCAAGCTGATTGTGGGGAAACCAGAACTAAGGAAAGTAGATACAAAACCAGAGGGAGGGAAAGTAAGGATTTCCATTCTTAGGTACAAAATGGACAGCAGAATGTGATCCATCCTCCTAATGCATGAATTAACCATATATGGTCTAGTGCAAGGAAAAGAGGCATTGGAATTGGGAAAAATCAGAGATTTTACCTTGGAGCCTGTATTAGGTTCACCAGAGAAATAGAACCAACAAGATGTGTACGCATGAGTGTGTATGTGTGCCAATAGCAGGTTCATATATATATGGGGGGAGGAGAGGGAGAAACAGACAGAACGGGAGGGAAGGGGAGGAAAGGGGAGGTGAGAGGAGAATAGATGAAAGGAGAGGAGAAAAAGAGGTATTTTAAAGGGTTGGATAGTCTAATTTTGCAGGGCATGCTGGCAGGCTGGAGCCCCGGTGAGGTGTTAATGTTATAGCACAAGTCCTAAGACAATCTGGAGGTGGTATTTATTCTTGGGGATCTTGGTCTTTTTCTCTTAAAACCTATAGCTGATAGATTAGGCCCACCCACATTATGGAGGTTAATCTGCTTTATTCACAATCTACTGATTTAAACATTAATCTTGCCTAAAAAATACCTTTACATGCCCTGGCTAATGTGGCTAAGTAGACTGGGTGCCAGCCTGCAAACCAAAGCGTTGCTGGTTCGATTCTTAGTCAGGGCACATGACCTGGTGGCAGGCCAGGTACCCAGTTTAGGGGGGCGTAAGAGGTAACCACACATTGATGTTTCTCTCCCTCTTTATCCCTCCCTTCCCTTTTCTATAAATCAATCAATCAATCTTTACAACAATATTTTTATATAAACATCTAGAATAGTATGTGACCAAATATTTGGGTACTGTGGCTTAGCCAAGTTAGCACTTAAAACTAACCATCACAATACCATGTGCTGGGTCCCTGGGACACAGACTCTGTAGGAGAGATTCCAGTGCAGGAGATATATGGAGCTAATTCTTGGGAACATTCTTTGGAGGGTGGGGAAAACAAGTTATGGGGGTGGAAAAGGAGGAGAAATGTGGTGCAGCTGCAACAGGAGCCTTGGCTGACCCCACAGGGAACTCTGGAGCTGGGATGGCCTCTTTGAGCTGTAGTGGGGCATGAGAGCCTATGCCTTTGCACTGAACATCAACCAGGACTGGGGCATGGGCTGCCCCAAGGGAGGGGGCCTGACTTTGACTGAAGCAGCTCCCTTGAGCTGAGCCCAGTTTCTGGGAAGGGGCTAGATGAGTGTCATCAGCCTCTGATACTCCTAGCAGCTGTGGGATAAGGGCCTCAGTCCTTGGGGGAGATCTGTGTGGATACCCCAGAATCCCCTGCACCTGCTCTTCCCTTAAGTTGCTGCATGGGCTTTGGGCAGTTGCCTAACTTCTTTAGGGCTCATAATTCCTCACCTATAAAATGAGGGTGACAGTCACTAGAGACAGCACAGAAGACTTAGTGATTTAGATCTTTTTGATGCTCAGACTCCGAGAGTTTGTTTGACACTGACTTTGGTGAGAAAAGAGCTATGGGAAGGAAATGAGAAAGTCACCTATTGGAATAAAGCTTAGATAACAGCAACTGTATTAAGCAACTGAACAGGGTGAGAGAGGGTCAAGTTTTGCACACATAAAGATCAGGTTGAGGGGCTTGGTACCCTGGGTTTTGTTGAGCTTTCCAGGAAATTCCAGGGGAAAAGTTGTCTTTCTGTCCCGGAGAATAGTTCTACCCAGGAGAACCCAGAAGTTCGTGGTTGGATGGCTTGGGGTAAGGTATGTTGGGCATGCTTCTTCTCCTACCTGGGGCCAAGTGGAGAGGAAGTTTCATTCATTTGTGTGACTCCAAAGGTTAGAATAAAGACCAATAAAGGGAACATTTAATTTATAATCAGAATAAAGTAGTTATAAGAAAGAGGTAGATATACAAACATTCTGAGTAAGGTCTTTCCAAGCTGAAGGAATAGCAAGTGCAAAGTCTCTGAAACAGGAATAACCTAGATGTTTAAGGGACAAAAAGAAAACAGTTGGTATTTGGACTATAGTTAATGAAGCGGAAAATAGAAGGAAAAGAAGTGTAAAGGCAGTTGGAGCCACATAATGTAGGACCGTGTAGGTTTTGGTAATGTGCTGATTCCATCCTGACTGCAATGAAAAGCCACTGGAGGGGATGGTGGTAGAAGATGAAGCATTGAACAGGAATATATCCTCATCTGGTCTGTGCTTTAGAAAGATCACTCAGGTTGCTTGCTGGTGGAGATGGACTAGAGGAGGTAAACCAGCAGTCATTCAGGGAAGTTATTATGTGGCATGGACTCAGATTGTAGTTAATAGTTGGTAAGATGTAGTCAGATTTGGGATAAGTCTGGGAGCCCAGATAATTACTTTTTGATTAGATATGGGTATGAGGAAAGAAAACAAAGTTTGGCTTGAGAAACTGGATGAAGGGTGGTACCACTTACCAAAATAGGGGGTGCTTAGAGGGAGGAGTTTATAATACATGGAAAAGAAGCAATAGTTCTTGATATCATGTAAAACTGAAGTGTTTATGGAACAGCCAAATAGAGATGTCTATTAGGCAGTTATTTGAAAGTAGATTTGGGAACTTTCAGCAAATAATGTCATTTAAAGCCACGAAATGGATGTAACCACCTTGGCAAAGAGTATGGAAGAAGTCAAGAAGAGGGCTGAAAAGTAAGCCCTTGGATACTCTAACATTGAGAGGTCTGGGTCAAAGAAATGAGACAGAACATGGGACTAATAAGTGGCCTGGGTCATAGAAGGAAAACTAGGTAAGGACAGAGTTCAGAGTAAACTTACATTTAAATAGAGTAAATGAGTAACAAATGCTCTCAAGAAGGATGAGGGCTCAATTATACTAGATGTTGCTGAGAGGAGAGTGAGATAAGGACAGAGAATTGTCCTTTGGCTTTAGAAAGAGGTAGATCTTTGGAAACCGTGATTAGAGCAATTTCAGTTCGGGACTGAATGATGGGGACTCAGGTAGAGTGGATACAAAGGAAAAGGGGGAGATACAGAAATAATGAATATAGGAACTAGTTTGAAGAGCAAAGAAATAGCGTGGCTGATAGGTGGAGGAGGATGTTGGGCTAGGGATGCAGGCTTGTCAGTTGAGTTTACTATGAGAGATGAAGGATTCTTATCTGAGTGTGTTCATTCTCACTATGAAGTAAGAGGCAAGGTGGAGGAACTTGAGGAAAGAGAAGAGGAGAAATAATTTGGAGAGTAGAGAGAACAGAAAACTGAATTTACTAAGAAAGTAGAGAAAGATTATTTGGAAGTCTTGAGTGTCCATTTGACGTCTGCACTCCTACATTTGATATTAGTCAGTGTCTCAAAAACAGACACAAAGTCCACATGTACATATAGTCACTAAGATCTGGAAGTAAAACAGCACCAGGAAATAACATACTATGGAGGCATAGAGGGGCAAGAGGATGGGATCTCAGGGTTCTTTTGTTGTTAAAGGAGTGTTTATGGGTCAGACCATGGAATCTAAGCAGAATAAAGGGAAAGTGAGGACATGGGTAACTGGGAAGGAGAGTGTGGTGAAAATGCAGCAGGTCCATCCACAGGAAGCCTTGAAGAGGATGAAGGATCGCTGGGGAGCAAGTGCGAGGGATGATGAACTAGAAGGAGAGGGATGTGTCAAAATGGGATTTTGGAGGTCTCCCAAGGATTATGAGAGGAAAAAAAGACCGCTTTTCCTATTTTTTTGGTCTTATCCATTTTTGATACACCCTTTATAAAGTACTTTGTATATCAATAGAATCATAGTGTTTATGATTCATATTTAAATAAAAGTATATATATGGGGGTTCCTCTCATTGTGGGGGCTGGGCAGCCAGACAGGTGAGGAGACCACTAGGCTGGATGGCAAAAGTTTCTTTCATATAGGTGATGGCAGGTATGGGAGCTTAGCCTTGCCTGGCTCGATAGTTCATGTGCTATACTACATCATGGATGTAGGTCATGGGATGGAAGTAATACAAGATAATTTTCAGGAGAAGGTAAAATTGACTCTCAAATGTAAAAATAACACATGTTAAAGATTTTATCTAACCTATTCAATGAGGGAACTAGGCAGGTACAAAAACTGGGCAAAAGGGGTTTCAAATGACAACATGTTTATTTATACAGAGCAATAAACTATCTCAGAGCAATGAATACAGCTCAAATCAGGTAACTCCTATGTTGTGCTGTAGGCAATGCATAGTTTTCTACTGAAGTATAGATTCTTTTTTTCCTCTAGAAAGTTGAGTGGTGTTAGTGCACTATAGCGTGCCATCCAAATCAGAAACTAAAAGGCCCAATAGGAATGTAAACAGTTGAAGAGAATCAAGTGATATTTGGAGAAGTGAGGAGGAGACCCAGGAAAGGGCATCATGATGAGAGGGAAGATGAGGCTGTGAAATGGACCATCTTGAATGAGGACAGATGAAGACAAAGAAAATTTTTAAAAAACATTTCCAATTGGAAAGTGGAGTAAAGAGTCATTTTTACTTCTGTTTTCATATTGTCTAAGTTTTCAAAATATTTTTTATTAAAAAAACACATTTATCAAGAGCTTCCAGTGGTCCCAAGTTAAGGGGCTCAGAGATGGCAAGTGTGCAGCCTAGGGCCCGTGAGAGCTGGGGTTCTGATAGAGGGAGGATGACCCCAGAGTATATATCTTAACTGCTCTATTCTACATGAAAAAATTCCTTGTCATTTTTTAAGGAAGCAAATTTTAGAATCTGTTCACTGTGCACCATGGATCTATTAATCCTTAGTATTCTTTTTAATAGACACCTATTTCAGACAAAGAATTTACCAAGACAACATGTACTGACTTAGAGCAGAGCACCAGCCTGGATCAAGAAGACAGCCAGAGGGACAGGGCCTCCCCAGAAGCAGGGGAAGGCCTGGGTCTCAGGCCAGAGTTCTTCCAACAGGCCATCAGAGAGGCACAGTGGGACCGAGACATAAGGAGACCCTGGGCCACTTCCCTGATGCGTCCTGGGGATTCCCACCCTCATTTATGCAGACTGCAAGAGGAAGCAGGTGCTGAGGCATTGCCTACCTCTTTGGAAAATGATATGAGACAAAATTGTTATTCAATTTGTGATGTTAGAAGACTTGTTTGGTAAGACTCACCACATATCCAGATATTTTGTAAATTGTATGCATTTTATGGCTAGAAATTACAACTGAGTCATCAATTCATCAATAACTGTGCTCAGATGCTTACTAGGCCCAGCACTGTTCTAGGCATTTGGAGGGAAGGCCAAAACAGGACAAGCTTAAGATCTAGAGTTGCTGTAACCACAGCTTGTGGACTTTTGGATGCTGCAGATGGCAGGCCTTGGGGTTTCTTTGCAGCACACAAATCTTTGTCTTGCTCCCTCATGGCCTTTTGAAGCATTGTGTTAAGAAAGAATGTCCTTGTATGCATCGTCTCTATTGCTAATATAATGCTTTACAATTAGCACCAGCTTAAAAAAAAGCCTACATTTTCAAAACCAGACTGAAACATTCATTTCAATAGCCATTTTTAACTAAGTTTTATTTTTGTGCTCATCCAGCCTAAAGTCCTGTTCTGATGGAAAACATACTATTTGATTCAGTTTGATATATTTATTACAGGTACCCAAGGTGCACAGAGACCTGTTAAGAGCAGAGAGAGGGGTACAAATGCTGAGAAAGAGTAAGATATTGCTCCTAGCTGTGTGCTAGGTGGAAGCACAAGCACAAACCAGACAAATAATGAAGAACAATGATTTGTCTTTAACACTTTAAAAACCCAGTGAGATTAAATGGCTCTTTTGTGTCGATCATTTTAAAAGGCTAACAAGGGCAAATATATAGGGGCTGGTAGGTGACATGAAATGTGAAGTAGCCAACATAATGCAGTTAGGCAGAGTGAGATCTGTGACTTACAGGAGCCACATATGTTCCCTAAATGTAGTCAGACAACTTTTAAAAGAAGACTGTGCCAGACAAACAAAAACCAACTAGTCTGCAAAGTAGAACAAAGTGGGTAAGCACATTTGTCAGTGGTATTCATTTCATTGTCTAAAAATGCATAAACACAGTGTATTCTAAGCAGTAATTGAAAAAATTGGTTAAATAATAAAAGTAACCTACAGAGATTGATTTAAAGATAATTATGAGCATGATCTAATAAGGAAAATAAAAGGAACTGTATATACTGCCTTGTAGGCATGGGACCACTATTGGAATTTTGAAGGTTTTACTGCCAGATAATTTGGGGTGATGGACAGAGACCCTGAGAACTGGCTTATAAAGTGATCCTGGGTTTAGGTACAAGCCTGGAGTTTGACTTGCTATGTGCCATTAATCAAACATAGTTATCAGTTATTGATAATAGTTTTTTGTTTGTTTGTTTGTTTGTTTTTTACTAACTATTGGTATAAGTAGTTACTGCTTCATTCATTGACTCACAGAATATCAGGGTTGTTCACCCTGGCTGGTGTGGCTCAGTGGATTGAGTGCTGGCCTGCAAACCAAAGAGTCACCAGTTTGATTCCCAGTCTGGGGCATATGCCTGGGTTGTAGGCCAGGTCCCAGGTGGGGGACGCACAAGAAGCAACTACACATTGATTTTTCTCTGCCTCTCTTTCTCCCTCCCTTCCTTTCTGCCTAAAAATAAATAAACAAACAAACCTGGGGGGCAATAAAAGAATCTCAGGGTTGTTCAATACAAAAATGATCGACTCCAACCTTGAAGCCCATGCTGGAATCTGCTCTGTGATGTCCCTGAAGTAGGGGTCCTGCTTGTGCTTAAATATCTCCAGGGATGCAGAATTCACTTCCTTTTGAGGTGGCCCCTTTTATCATCATGTTTTCAAAGTTAGGGAATAAGGTGAAAATCACCTCAGGCCATATTACTCTTGAACATCACTTTGGAAGATGTGATGTCCTCTCCACCTCCCTGGTGTGGGAACCGATCACTTTTTCTTTGGTTAGGCCTCCAGTAAAGTCTGGTGGCTTTTGTTTATGGGCTTTCTGCAAAATGCTTATCTTTAAATGCTGGCCTTATAGGAATGAAGAGATGGCAGGTTCAAGTTTCCCATTGATATTCACTTCAGGGCTTACCCTCGTTGAGTGGAAAGTTGGACATTACAGAATGTTTCCATTTATTTCTTCTCTCTCTCTCTCTCTCTCTCTCTCTCTCTCTCTCTCTCTCTCTCTCCCCTCCCCTTCCACTGCACCCCCCAGTATATATAGTTAAATTCATGTAATTAAAACACATGTAGTTTCAGAAACCAGCATTTAGTGAAAGACTTGATAGACGTTCTCATAGTCATTTAAGAATGTAAAATGAAGCCAGAGTCCTTGAAAGAAACCCAGAGTTACTATATGCCTTCAAGGAGGCAGAACACTATTCCTGGATGATAAGGAGGTTAAAGGTCTAACTCTACTGCAACTGCTGTGCCAGCTGTGTCATCAGAGCAGCTGGCTGAGGGATGAATGAGATTGACAGCTGAGGGGCTGTTGGTCAGATGGGAGGGTGCGGGGGAACCCTGTGAGGCCTGCTCTGAAGTCAGAGTGTGGCTAAGGGGAGCGAATGAAGCCGATGCCTGGCTAAGAACAGAAGCAGTATAACACAGCAGTGCAGAGCCCTCACAGGCTAGAGTCTGGGCACTGCTTTTAGTATAGAGATAATCTTTCCACATTCAGGTACTCAGGAGAGAACATCCACCCTCCCTCTTCCGTACATACCACTCTAACAATCCTAAATATTGATCTCCAGCAGGATCATCATTTGTACTTCAAACCCAGTAGGCCCCTGGAACACTGCGAGTCTTACCTGTTAAATGCTGACCTCAGGGCTCACAGGAGCAGTGGCCCTGAGCTTCCAGTTGCCCTAAGCAGGGCTAACAGGAACATCTGGTGGGGCCTGTTGCTGGAGAATTGAGAAGGCTAAGCCTCACAAAAAGACATAAAACCTGAACTTTGTTGCAAGTTTAACCACAGTAAATAGGGCGAATACAAAACCTTAGTATCGGGACTTGAAATGCTGTCTACTCATTCGACTTGCCTTCCTGGGAGGTAGACATGATTTTGATGGCCCAAGTCTCTAAAGAAAGCTGTCCATGGAAGAAAAGCCCTGTAAAAAGTAAAAGGTTCACAATATTTCACCAACTCAAGCTTAACTGGTTTTCTTTTCCTTAAAAGTGGTACCTGAAGAGTCGTAGGATTTGGGGTCCTGGACCCTGCCAGCTTTTTGGGGGGAGATGGCTGGACAGGGAGTTCATCAGGTTTGCAGATTCTTCTCTAGCTATTCAGTGTCCATAGGAGCAGCTGATATCATTAACTGTACCTGGAGGTCAGCAGAGAGTTCTGTGGCCTTAATCCCATCAGGCTCTTGATAGGAGTCCTGCTGCATTATTCTCAGGTGCCCTGAGCTGGCTTGGAGCCCCTCATGAAGGACCCTGCTTCTTTACTTGGCATGTCCACGTGCCCAAACATCTGACCTTGCTCTAAAGCAATGCCACCATCCTTCTTAAATTCTCCAAATTTCCAATTCTTGCCCCTTCAATGAAATAAGCTGTGCCTTGGGGATCTCATGGGATATTTTTTGTTTGTTTTTGTACTTTTGTTTGTTTTATTTATTTTATTTTATTCTTTTGTTCAAATACATTAGTCTCCACCTTCCCACCACCACTTTCCCTGGCCACTCTCCTTCACCTTCCTCCCTCAATCCTTCCCCAAATTGGCTTTGTCCATGGGTCCTTTATACTTGTTCTTTTACTTGACCCTTCCCTTCCCCCACAACCCCCTTCCCTCTTTACTCTGTCAGTTTCTTTTTTATTTCAATGTTGCTGGTTTTATTTTCCTTGCTTGTTTGTTTTGTTGGTTAGGTTCCACTAATAGCTGAGATCATATGGTATTTGTCTTTCACTGCATGTCTTACTTCACTTAGCATAATGCTCTCTAATTCCATCCATGCTGTCACGAAGGGTAGTAGCTCTTTCTTTCTGCTGCATAGTATTCCATTGTGTAAACATACCATAGTTTTTTAATCCACTCATTTGATGGGCATTTAGGTTGCTTCCAACACTTGGCTATTGTAAATTGTGCTGCTATGAACACTGGGGTGCATAGGTTCTTTTGAATTGGTGTTTTGGTGTTCTTAGGGTATAGTCCCAGCAGTGGATATGCTGGGTCAAAAGGCAGTTCCAGTTTTATTTTTTTGAGGAAATTCCACACTGCTTTCCACATTGGCAGCACCAGTCTGCATTCCCACCAACAGTGTACTAGGGTTCCCTTTTTTCCACAGCCTCGCCAGAACCTGTTGTTTGTTGATCTGTTTATGATGGCCATTCTGACCAGTGTGAAGTGGTATCTTATTGTGGTTTTAATTTGCATTTCTCTCATGGTTAGTGATGCTGAACATCCTTTCATATGTCTCTGGGCCCTCTGTATCTCTTCCTTGGAAAAGTGTCTGCCCAGGTCCTTTGCCCATTTTTTGATTGGATCGTTTGTATTCTTGGAGTGGAGTCGAGTGAGTTCTTAATATATCTTGGAGATGAAACCTCTATCTGATGTATTATTAGCAAATATATTTTCCATAGAGTTGGCTCCCTTTTCATTTTGCTGATGTTTTCTTTAGCCATGCAGAAGCTTCTTATTTTGATGAGGTCCCACTTGTTTATTCTTTCCTTTATGTCCCTTGCTTTAGGAGACATATCGGTGAAGAAATTGCTGCATGGGATATCTGAGAGTAACCTGTCAATGTTCTCCTTAGGACCTTTATGGTGTTGTGATTTATATTTAAGTCTTCCATCCATATTGAGTTTATTTTTGTGTATGGTGTCAGCTGATGATCCAATTTCAATTTTTTGCATGTAGCCATCCAGCTCTCCCAACACCATTTGTTGAAGAGGCTATAATTGCTCCATTTTATGCTTCTGCCCCCTTTGTCAAATATTAGATGTCCATAGAGGCCTGGGCTTATTTCCGGGCTTTCTATTCTGTTCCACTGGTCTATGGGTGTGTTCTTGTGCCAGTACCAGATTGTTTTGAGGATAGTGGCTTTCTAGTACAGTTTGATGTCCAGTATTGTGATCCCTCCTACTTTGTGTTTCTTTCTCAAAATTGCTGCGGATATTCGGGGTCATTT